AGATTAATGAAGGAAATAATGCAAAAAAGAAAACCTCAGCTGAAAGGCTGTCCGCGGGACGTCTAGCAGCTGCCTCATGCAAGCTGTGGAGCAGGACTGCAAAGTCAGGAGCGGTTTTCATAGTCTTGATCCTAGCACGCGGCCTACTTCCTTAGTCCTATTACACTTCAATTATAATCCTCAATGGCAAGATTACTAGAAAGCCCCAAATCCCCTCCAGTTTCACTGCCCGCACCACGAACAAGTGCACATGCGCCCAGGTAGGGGGACAACTGCAACCTGCTCCTCAACAAGGCATTCAGAACGTAATGACAGAGTAAAACCACTCAAAAGGCTGTGATTTTCAAGCTGCCTGTAACTGAGACTCTCAATATCGAACATATTCCCCCTGGGTGAGGCTACAGCAGTAGTAAAAAAAAAAAAAAGGTAGCTGAGAGTTTGAAGGTGCACTGGTGTGATTGCAGGGCCTGAAAGCTGTAGGGCCATGCTGTCAGCATAGCGGGTAGACAATCGCCTTTAATGGAAGAATTCTGTTCTATTCCCTGTGTGCCCTGCTGCAAATGCAAAATATACCCCTTCTGGTCTGCAAAAGACTTGGCGGAGTTACTTTAAAGACTGTTCCTGCCTAAGGTACCTTGCCTGCTGTCGCTTCCCACTGCTGCATGGCATGTTACATACTTTCTCATGAAGTTTATGAATACAGCTTTAACTGATAATGTCATGCTAATACATTTTAATTACTGTTCCAACAATATAATTAAACATTGAATTTATGCATGGTTGCATGCAGAGTGCCTTGCTAAGCTGGAGTAATGAACTCTGCTAGTAATGAACCCACTAATTGAAACAGTATGTAGCTTAGGATGCCATTAGTTGAACAATATTATCGTTACTAGTACAATACTGGTTAAAAAATTGCAACAAAAGAAACAATTTTCAGATTCAAGATACAACAGTTCTGCATTCATCAGTTAGAGAAAAACAATCATCGAGTTTTGTATTTCAGAAACTCTTTCAAACTGGGCTAGAAAAATGAAAGCAACTGTTCTGGAGTAATGAAATTGTTGCTAACTAGGTTTGTGCGCACTTGGGGACACACAAGAGACACAAAATGAAGACATGCATGCTGGCTGAACTTCCAGCAGCCATAAATGTGAGGACGTCTTGTGCTGAGCATTCACCTACAGAGCATTAGAGTGTTAATATGGGATAGAAATACGATGTACAAAGTGATAACTGTGCGTGATCTGCCTGGGAAGCCCAAGAACTAAATGATCTTACATCATTTTAGACAACAACCGCATTCAGTAGGATAGACACAACGTGTCCATCACTGAAACAACAGAACAGTAGTTGCTAGAAAATGGCAATGAAATTCAGGCAGCAAAACTCTGCCAGACTGGGAAGATTTTTATACCACTGTAAATATATTTTAATGAGGTCCTAGGGCATACGTTTCTTTTTCACCTTAAAATAAAAGCAGGTTTTCTTCTTGTGCCTCTACTGCTGTGCTGAGCTCTGAGAAGAGGCTGGGGTTACAATTCTGCTCTGTTTCACTGCCCAGGCCATCTATCTTCCTGGCCATTTTTCCCAGGATTTGTCCCTACTAGAAGCTTCAGTGTTAGCTGTGCTGAGGGTTCAGGTGTAGACATGATGCTCAAGGTCACCTAAGCACCTCATTAAATAGACTCTGTGTGGTGTTATCCACCCTATACCATTACTGGTTGCCTCTGCTACCTAGCTCTACCAGCATCGATACCAAAAGCACAGTTGATATGACAGTAGCAATAAAAGGAAATCTTTGGCAGCAAACAGCTTGTTCGTTCACTGCCAGCGTACTTGGGAAAAGAGCTTAGTCAGTCTGTAACTCTAAGCAGTGAAAAAACTGCACAGTTTGAGCTTAAAAATTAATGTAACAATGGCAGGGCTACGTTAAGGCTTAGAGAGAAATAAGGACTGCTGAAAAATCTGAAGAAATAACAGGAAAATTATCCCTGTCCATGCAAATTATTCCCAAGTATTTGTCTTCTGTGAACTGATGTCAAAATGCCGTTAACTGTTTAATTTACTAGGCAGTGTTAAAATGTAGACACTTCCTGAGTTTCACCTCCAGCTAACAAAAAGATTCTTAAAACCAATCTAGCCAATATTTGCCAAAACATTTGGCAAATCCTACAGAAATCAGGACAGATCTGGAAGTGTGAACAGGCCTAGATGTGGCATTAAGAACGTCTTAACTTCATGGAGTACATTAAAATTTATAAAGTCTGGAGTAAATTAAAATGACATGCGAACACAGCTTTGTGTACTCCTTCAGCCTAAGTAGTTGCTATCTAATTAGCCACTGGTTTTAGGCATCAGTTCAAAAAAAGCATCTATGTCAGGAAAATTTAAACATATCGGAAAGTATATTAACTGTTTTGCTGAACTAGCGTGTTGTTCTTCTCTTTTGCTAAAATTGGTGGCTTAAGAGAATGATATACAAGCTTTATGTATTAAAGTATATATACGTCTAATAACATTTAAGCCTTTCAGCTAATTTCAGTCAAATTTGACAAACAGGTATAGGCCTCAAGGGCTATTATGCTACTGCAAGTTTTGTGAAAAATTGTAGTAATAGACCCCACTAAGAGAGAAGCTGTAGGATGAGCTCACAGCTTGTTACATATCAGATAATCCGCATGGGAAAGATCTCCTATAAATCCTTCAGCTGCAGGGAAAAAAACAAACAAAAGAACAGACTTCAGTTGGTGATCACAATCGGCCACAAGACACAAATCTGCAGGGAAATCAGGCTTCATTAGTTACGCTACTCACGAAAGTACATTTTTTTAGAAAGATTTAGGAAACAAAACACAACATAGTTACATAGGCCAACGCAATGGATTTACCAAAAGGCTACGCTGTGATTTGGAGCAGTATTTAACAGCCAAGAGAGGAAAGCAAACAGGTTGCACAGCTGATGATTTGTGAGCATTGTGTGTTTCTCTTTTGTTTGTTCTTGGACACATGTCTCAGCGTAGGCAGCTCTGCAAGCAGACAGAGGACCCTGATGCTTATTTATTTTTCCAGACTTCATGCTTTTTTTTTTCTTTTTTAAGACTAGGAGGGCTGAGGATAACTTGGACTTTGTTTTCCCTACTTCTTGTTCAGAGGGGGAGAGGGCTATGGGATGTTTTTAGTCTTGGCACACAACTGCAGAAAAGTCAATCTGTCACAGTTGAGCAGATTTAATATTAGTCATGAATGAGATCATGATTTGAGTACAGTATGAGTTATTATTTATGGTGCAGTGAGCTACTGCAAGAGCTTGTAGGAAGTCATGACTAATTGTCCCATAGCTGCCAGGGATGGATGAACTCTCTCTCTTACCTAGGGCCAACACTAATAAGTTACCCCGTAACCTCTCCTCCTCTAATCCCTTCTTCCTTCCTTGCATCCTCAGCAATTTAATGGAAAAAGCAAATCCCACAGATTTCTGTGCATCACAGCAGTTTGCCTTCAGTACTAGTACAGACACAAGCAAACAAACAAAGCATTCACACAGGTTGTCCACCTGGACCAAGGCTTGTTCAATGGACCGTTGAGAAATGTATATCCAAGGTCAAGCCGTCTCAGCAGAACAGCCCATGTGAACGTAGGTTTTGCAGGGCTGCGTCTCTTGACTAAAAGAAAACAGTGCATTGGAGGAAGAACAGCAAGAGCTCCATTTGACTTGGCTCAGACACAGGTGGAAGTCAGGCAGAATGTATTATACTGTTAGAATTAATGATTCAGATTACTGCTCTTTTATGACCTTAGCATGAGGGGTATTTATATTTTGGAATTGCTGACTCGCTAAAGTTGAATGTCTTCATCAGCAATAACAGCTGTATCACGTCCCTGTTACCTCTACTGTGATGTGAACGTGTAGAATTCCAGTGATACGTCACTTCAAGTCTTATCTTTTATCATATAAATGCTTTGTTAGCCTATTTCCCCACATGCAGTACTAATGTGGAATAGATCACTGTTGCATATGCAGAACAATATATAATAGAATTGAGGAAAGGCTTAATTAGGGATCCTCAATAAAATGAAACAAAACATGAATTTCTGTGAAACATTAAAAAATACACTTTAAATTATGAAAAGGGAAAAATGAAAAATAGGATGAGATTTAATAAATAGAGTTGGAAATGAAATTCTGAAGGCACTACTTGAAGAAAGTAACTATGCCTTGCTTGCAGAGTCCTGGTTTATTAAAGAGTATATAACAAAGTATGCCTCATATAACCATTTTCCTCTTTCAGGTTTGTAACTTCACTTTATTCCTTGCTTGATTTGCTCTTCTCCAAAGCCCTAGAGCAACTGATTCCCAAACTGTGGTCCATGGTCCCTGAGGCTGTGGTAAGTGGCTTGTAGCTGGTCTGGGCAATCATACTAGCCGCCTGGAGGTTTTAAGGTAAAGTTCAATGAAAAGAATGTAGAGTCCTCTGCAGGCCACCTGGAGGTGTGACAGTGGTCCACCACTCCAGAAACTTTGTGGCCTGCCAGCCTTTGAGTACACTATGAGCTTTGGCCTCATTTGGAAAAACAGTGAATACGTGCTTATTTCATGCTATTTTTTGAAGAGAGATTTAGCTTGGAACCTGCCACTGACAGGGAGGGAGCACCTCGGGATAGTACTGGGAGAGCACTTTGGGTATGCATCACCTTGCAGATTGCCTCTTCAGGTTCCCAGGCATGGTATCTTGTGTTTTCAGAGGGAAATGAGCTGAGCTAATTTCCATTCTTCAGCAAAAATATGTTCACATTGTCTTACTTACCTTTTAGCTGTACGCACTGTTAGTGGAAAAGAGAAGTGCTTACATGCAAGCAGCATCAGCTGCTTTTCAATATGTAGTCAGCTGAAGAAGTATTGTGTGCTGACAAAGAAAGGCTGACGCATTTTATCAGATATTTTTCTCCATTCAGCCCTTAAGGAAAGTAAAATCCCATCACAGTGCAATATATAAAAATGATGTTCATATGAAAATACCAAGAGTCCTTCCTGAATGGAATTCTTTAGGACTGGATTAACCCTTAGGATATTATTATACAGTATCTGCTTCACAGACCCCATGCAGCACCTATAAGATTGAGAGGTAGTTAATATGGATGCATCTAAAACTACATCTTTGACTTACCTTGCAATAACAAAGAGGACACAACTCACTCCAAGGCAGGCTAGGAGAACATACATCCAAATATCAGGAGAAAGAGGGTTTAAAAAAGAGAAAACACCAGGGTTTGTGCCATTGGGCTTCCGGTACAAGATACTGATTCCCAGCGTCATGAAGGGTTTGGAAAAATCAATTACTTTCTCTCTTACGTAGGTAATAGTGAGAGGAGCAACAGCCAGATCAGCTTTCTGCAAATACAAATGGGAGAATACTCATGCTTTTTCACATTCTGCAAACACACTACTATTTCTTCCTTTTTTTCCCCTCGAGTATTAAAAACTAAACCAAACTTGATGATAAATCTGAAATGTGTGACAAAATTTACCATTGCTAACGTATTAATGGTTACGTGCAATTCTGTGTCCTCTACTTCCAGCAGAGGGGCGCTCATGACTGTGCTGTGAGCATGAAGGACATGGCTGGGGGCGCGGGGCTCTGTGCGGTGAAACAGGGCAGGTTGTGCGCAGGGATCGGCAGAGCGCTGGAAGAGGGACTACACTCACGAATCAGAGTTTGCTGCGGGGCTGGGAGGTCCAGCCTTCGCCATCGGACTCCGTAGCCTAGGGGTGGGCAGGATCGATGCTACCTTAGCATCCACTTCCCCGCTATGGCAGGAGTTTCCCCCCAATACCCAGCAGCTGTCAGTTCAGGTGTACTGACATGATCTTGTACTCTGACAAGTGCCACTAAAAAGAAATCGGTGGCTCTAAAGAAATGTAAACTACTATGAACATTTCATTTGCGATGGCTTCATATAAAACACCGCAGGTGAAAGCAGAATAAAGAGAGAATGATTCAATCTTACATGATCTATGAGTTCTTTGACCATCCCATTCCACTCTCCTTTGTCATTCTGGGCTCCATATTTACCATCAGAAACTAGTTTGACCTCATAGATGAAGCCTAAAATATTTGACAGCTCCTTCAGTAAATCCAGGCAATAACCCTCGAATCTGTCGTTTCCATACAAAGGCTTGTCAGACTTCTTGTACATAACATAGGGATCTTCCTATAGAAAAAACATAGCAGATGTAGCAATAGAAATGAGGTTTGCTTCAGATTATATCAGTTTCTGAATGCTACATGAATAGTTTATTAATGGATTGCAATTAGATGCATACAAGTAATTTACTATGTCTGTTAAAAGCTATTTCAGGTGTGTTAACAAACTGATTGAATCAATTAGTGATAAGCATAAAGGCCCTAATTTTCACTGGAACAAACCATTCATAGCTCCCATGAGTTTTAATTAAAGTAGTGCTTAGCAGCTCCCAATCAGATCCAAGAATCTGTATGCTATATTGTCCCATCCTAAGGGACAGGAAAGGATATTGAAGGAGAAAACACAATGATAAGGTGAACTTAAAACCTGAAATTCTGCAGGAAATAAGTCTTTGTTGAAAAATCTTCTGAAGTGTAATACAGATGTGGGCTGAGCAGCTATTCACATGAGAGAATTCAGAACAGCATAGGTAGATTGGTTTTGTGTGCAAAGTACTTTATTGCTTTTCTTTTTATAGGACTTTGGATAGACGAAGTTCTGGGCAAGCAGGTATCTGCAGCTGGGTGTATCAGAAGACCTCTGGCAATAGAAAAGGAGGGTAAAAGGGGCCTTTGAGCTCTTTTCCTTCTCCTGAGGAATCAGATAAACAGAATAGTTGAAAAAAAAAAAGACATTACTGGCCACGGAGAAAGTCTGAGGCATAGCAACTGGTGGATACCCAGTTCCATATTTTCCATTCATCATCTTAAGGACCTACCCCAGTCTGTTTATCTACTGTTTGCTACTTTCTTCCACACCCCTTCACTTTCAGTAAAAAAGAAAGGATGTATACACACTAACTACCACGCTGTGTATTTGTAAGTGTTAATTCTTCCAGGCAGAAGAATATGTAGAGTTCCTCTTTAAAATACAGAAATAATCCGTATTTTGGAGATACAGTTTCCTGAAAGTCTTTAATTGGCAGCTAGGTATTTTGATTGCCTCTTATGGATGGATGACTAGGTATATTAATTCTGAGTCTATAACAAAAAATCTTTTAGGAAGCAGCGTAGTTTAACAAAACATTCATTAGTATGGTGAAAACCAGCAATGGAGCGCAGCGTGGAGGTGACAAAGAAAGCTGCAAGGAACCGACACAGTATTTGCAATCTACAGCATGGCTCGTGAAGTCAGCATGTTGCAGTAAGACTTACCAAAATGGTTGTGACAATAAGTGTCCGGTTTGCCAAAGAATCGGTGATATTGGTTGATCTGTCCTTATTGTTGTCCGTCATGTTAAGGCCACTGTATGAGTTCCAAACCCCAATCTACACAGAATAAAACAGGTGAATAGCTGCCAAGTCTCAGCAAGCGAATGAGTGAAATGAAACATTTCTTTAAATGCTCACAGCCTAGAAAGTGTACATTAGCTCTGCTCACCACAGAAAGAGACACTAGCAATACGAAATGCTAGAGAAGTGAAAGAGCTGTAGTTCTGAATAAGGCAGCAACATCAAATGGTTGATTGTAACATTTAGAAAACACAGGGAATATACTACTCTTCAAAAGCAAGTTGAAATGAATTAGCTATAAGAGTACAAGGCATGTCAATACTGTGGTATATTAGCCAATTTTTTAAGAAGTGGAACATATTGACTTTGTTTCTTGCTAAAAATGTCAAATGTCTATTTTTATGAAATTTTTTATTTTTATAAATGGTGGAGTTGAAACATATGGCAAGACCTCTCTCTTCCAATACAACAGAATAAAAGCTTGGATAAATATGTTGAAGCAGATTGATGGATGCACTGGCCTTTTGCTTCTGCTGTGCCTACAGCAGGTTTAGCAAAGATTATTTTGTCATTTCTTAACTACAACATATGACAGAACTAGCAAGGTGATACCATTTCACCTACTGATCGGTATTTGCTCAGTAAACATAAGCGGCCAAAGGCAAATGGGATTTTTGATTCCTTTCTAATTCACAGACAGAGATAGTAAAGAACTCCAGTATTTAATGCACAATCAAAGCTTCAAAGGAAAGCTATTTATGATTTCCATGGATTCAGATCTACACCTTATGATGACAGAAATTATAAATATGATTTATTCAGGTAAATATTGACTTAACATAAATTCAGTCTTAAAGCATGTTGACATTCTGCTTCCAAAGTCTTTTGAAGATTAGTGTTCGTATTGTCTCAAAAGGAGGTCTTAACATGGCTCTGTGGTAATGAAATGGGCATTAGCACCTGTTCAGGCACTAGTTTTTGCCAGGTGAGCTGTTGTGTGGTCACTTCTTAGGTGCAGCAATGTGATTACACGCCATAGATAAGGCATCCTCCAGATCTAGTCGCACCAGCTGATGGCACTGTTGTCCTCAGCAGCCTCACTGCCTTTGCATGAGAAGGAACCACTTACACAGCTGCCAACAGAAAAGGTCACTGATCCTTCCCTAAACAGCTTTAGGCAAAATCAGTCTGGTGAAGCTCACATCCACTCTGTCAGCAGGTTAGGGCAATCCCACTGATTTTGCCTGAAGCAAGCTCGGAAGTGCTCAGACGATCCTCTCACCTTGCTGATTTGGGAGGCTGGTCACCTTGAGTGGAAGAGCAATGAGAAGTGCTGCCCAGGGGAGGGAGGGAGAAATGGGGGCAGCGACCTTTCAAAGAGGCATGGCTGCTTGTGACATGAAGTCTGCCCACAGCGGGCTCCCTGCTCAGCAGGGGGAGAGCTCAGCTTGTCCTGGTGGGGGACACCAATGCTAAATGAAGGCGTAAGAAGCGAGCCGGTAACTCGCAGAGCCCTTGTTTTGCTGAAGGTAAAGGGAGGTGCTCCCTAGCAAGGATCAGGCTCACGCTGAGGGCTGCTGTTCTACAGGCCTGGTTTCATGCATGAGATTAAATGCCATCATCTTTCATTTGCTTGGAAATGAGACTTCAGTGAGAGCTGACTTTACTGCGAGTACAGGTATGGAGCATCTCACAGGACTGGGCCTTAAGTGACATTGGAGAATGGCAACTTCAAGTGGGAGCTTTTCTTAATTACCCTCTGTTGAGCAGCCATATAGAGAGGACACGTGTGAGGGCTGTTTGGGGGGTATTCAGCATGTTTCACTGAAATTAGGAAAACCTGATTTATGAAGCCCAACATGCCCACAGCCAAGTGAAAGCGCAGCTCCACAGGGAGAGCAGGCTCATTGTATTGGCACTCTAGGGCTTATAAGGGCTAGAAAAAAGGTCTTGCCAAGTTAAATATCGAACAAAAGGAAATAAAGCCTGACTACTTCTGCCTTCTCATTTGTTACTAAGAAACCACAAAGTTTTGCAAGGCCAATCACAATGTTTGCCCAAACTGCCTGGAAAGGTTTTCTTTTTAACCTTGAACAAATTAATCAACAGCTTACAATTTGGGTTGTAAAATTAACAGAGAAAGAAGTATAAAACCCTTCTAGATGAAACTGCTTGTTCAAATCTGATCAAGACTTTCGTAATGAGCCACACCCCAAAATATCTTTCATATTCATGCATTAAAGCAGTTTGGAAAGCAAAGCACATGTAAACCACAGGCATTATAAAAGAGCACCTAATAACTCCTCACGGTAGGAGAGCTCCCCATTAGATTCACATAGCATGTGGCTGAGGGCAGGCATTTTAAAAAAAAAAATACAGCCAAGGGGACTGGCTCAGACAGTTGGGTTTGTACTGAGCGTTTGTGAAAGGCACCAGAGAGATGGCTCGGGGGGCTGACACCGTCCATCCACAGAGCAGCCTGCTGCTCCGTGCTGCTCTTCCAGCAGGTTTCAGCTCTATCCAGGAGAGATCAACTCTCAGATCCTTCCTGCTGTGATGATCAGCAAAGCTGCCAAGCAAACCTGAGACAAAACCCACTGAGTTGTCCTGTGCACTGAAGGTCTCTATCAGCCGTCAGATGCTCAGTCATTTCAGATCCAGACAGGACTGGTTTTTTTGGCTGTTAACTGAGGTAGAGAGGCCCTTGATTTTGATTATCTTGTGCCTGCTGAGTATGGATTTGGGGTAATAACTGTATTCTTTCAAATGATCTTTGGGTCTGTGTCCCTGGGTGTCATTGCTTTTGCCTTTCACTAACATATTTTCCAAACAAGGTATGTGTAATGGGGATAGTAGTGCCAATTCTTCTTTTTTTTTTTTTTTCTCTCAAGGATTTATCAGTCATTCCCTTTGTTTCCAAGACTAGATCAGGTTGGGAAACTGATCTGGAATATATTCACAGAATAAAAGACTGGATATTACATTAGTCCGTGCTGGGACTAGTAAATAACTAGCGTCCTTGAATTTGTACCAGGGTGGCTGAGTAAATCAAAAGCTGTTCTGCTTATTGTTAGTGACTTGATACGCTTTTAGCTGTTGGCAGTGGGGAAGAGGAGAACAACCATGAAGAGCATGGAACGACACAGTCACAGTGCATACAAAATACACCAGGAGAGCACTCTACATCTGAAGAAAGGAATGACACCACAGGGCAGCCTTGGTTAGGACAATGGAAAAGGTCAGAAGGGCGTTGGGAGAATGAGGCCAAGGTAGTACATCACTATGGTGATTCCGGGGGGTTTATTGCAGTTTAGTGACAAGTTTGAGAGGTATCACATGCCCTTCTCAGCACGCCTGTGTTGTGAACCAATTGTAATTTGGTTTAAATCAATTCAGCATAACATGAAATGCCTAGAGTCAAAAGCCAGATTGGTTCAATAAAGTCCTGCGTGTCAGGTAGGATGATCTATACACCAGTAATGAGGAAAATGGAATCCTTTGTGGCTTAGCCTGATTCACTGAAGATTAAAACAAGGTTATTAAGTATGTGCTTTATAAGAAAAGGAAAACAGTCTTATAGGATGCTTTAAGCTAGTCTATTGTGTAGCATTAAAATTCCTCCCAAAACAACACAAAAACAAAACCTTTTAAAAGTGTATGTATGTGTGTGAGATAACAAGATCTGTGCAAAATATATAGACAAATATAATTCTAAGTATTATAAGAATTTTTAAATCTATGAATACAAAACACTTTAAAACTGATAAATGCAGTTGTTATCTTCCCCATACAGAAGAGAAATTGGTATATTACGGAAAACCGTGGGTTGTATTTCCAGTGGGGATCAACAGATGTTGTTATGAGGGTCTTAATTGGGTCTCTGACTCCCAGTTTGGTGCCTTATCCAGCAGGTAGAGCCACTTCATGATACAAGAGGACTGAGATTCCTGAGGAAATTGTGATCATTTATAAATAAGGTTAGTTTCCATATGTCAGTGAATGACTGAGCAGCCCCTTAATCATCTGCATTATTTTCTGTGAGGAGCTAATAATACATTAGTCAAAATTGTGAGTCAACAATGCCTGAACACTGCCTGCACAGAATGCATCTTGTGGGAGAGGAAAAATCCCTGCATGCTTCAAACAGTCCTGACTGCTAATGCTAATACATGTTTGAAATGGTGTAAATTTACCACTGCTGGTAAATCTTAGGTGAATCAGGAAGGATAGCAGAGCTTTTGCTCTGCTTTTGCTACAACTAAGAGTCTCTACTCAAAGAGGGGAAAGGTATAACTGCTAAGAAATAAAATAATAATAACAAAAAGATTTTGGTGAGAACACTGAATCTTGCAAGGTCTTTTTGCTGTTTGGACTTACAAGTTTCAAGTAGGGATGAAACATAATATACCACAAAAGTTGCACACTGTCAGGTGGAATGTTGTCTCTAAACTGCAATTTGAGAACCACTATCAAAACCCAAAGGATGAGTCTGGAGACCCAACCCAAAGGTTTTTTGCATCACCTGTCTGTGTACAAACCTTCTTCCACACTTTATATAAATGATTAGAAACCTCGCCAGCAGCCTTGGTACAGAGAAAAATAAACAGAGTGCTTCATTAAAAATGAAAAGCGAACCAGTCTGGAGAGCTGTATGGGAGCAATTATGTTTAAAGTCTCAATTAACCCATCAGCAATTATCATTCAGAGTCAAGCCAGTGCAAACACAGCAAGGAACAAAGTTGTCTTCAGCTGACACTCGTGAGGGATGTCACCAACACTTGGGGTTTTCAGACATCCGCAGTTTCCATGTCCCACCTCCCCAGGCGGTTGAGGCCCCACCATGCCGGCAGAGAGCCCAGCAGAGGGTCTCACGGAGCGGAGGGCAAGTGCCCATCACTTGCCTCCCATCCTCTCCTCCAGCCTGCCTGCGGTTCGCAGCGCCCAGGCCTGGCTGGCCTTGTTATATTTCCAATGACAACATGCCGTCGCAAAGCATAGCTAGAAGTGTCTTTGGGTTTGGCATCCCCCTGGTTATCCCTGCGAGCTAAGAGACGCTCCGCGCTTGATCCCTTGGAGAACCTGAGCTCTGCTTCCTCAAGAGCTGTGCGGTCTCTTAGAGCTCTGAAAAGGAGCCCTGAAAACCAGTCAGCTCTGCATCTTCAGGATGTTTTATAAATGGTAAAATAAGGAAAATATGATCTTTTCATACAGACTTTTTTTCTTTTCCTGAGACATGCTTTCCAGAATATGTGGTATGAGTTTCTGAAATTGTATCATACAGAACTATCTGTTCTCAAGTGCAGATACTGCAATTAATTTAATTTAGTCTCCTATAGGCTCACCATTTCAGTGCAACTTATTATAAGCAGTTTGGGATTTGAGTGAAAATGAGCTAATCTAATCTCCAAAACACTAAGATTTTTTAGCATCTCCAATCTTTTTGAGGCTATTATCTAAGCACCTGCTTTCCTCTATCCCTCAGGTCACATCCATTACAAGCAGCATATGTAACATAAGTCTAGGTTTTTTGTATATACATATATGTATATATATAAACTTACTACACTAAGCTACAGTGCAAGCAAGAGCAGAAGATAATGTGTTTGCACTTAAAATAATTATTACTGTTCAGGTAATTATTGCCTGTCCCACATTCCTGTCCAATATCCCAAAATGTAAGATATGCATTGTAAAATAATAATAAAAAATTCTTAGTAGCTCTCTTTTAACCACAGGAAATTCACGTTGAGGAGACTGGACTTTGCTACTCCACTGCCAAATTAGCTTTTTGTCATTGTTTTTCAAAAGATCTAATTTTAAATAAGCATGAACTCCTAACCACTCACAGCAGGACAACATTCCTACAAGCTGGTTACCTTTTCTGTTCCTTCCTCCTTGAGACTAATAATGTCCAAATCAAAATCCTTCCGTAAGCCATCAGTTTTGTTGAAGGTAATGCGCCCTGTTAGGCCATCCCACCGTGCCTGTGTAAACAGAAAAACACACTTCCCTGTAATGATTAGTAGGAACTATTCTAAAAACATAACAAATATTACAATTTAAATTAACCAGCGCACGGAATTACTCTTCTTCTAAATACCTTTTTAAAAGTATGCTTTATTATTTAGACAAAAAATACCTTATTAAATCCTTTATTATATAGCTTCTCTTCAATATGTTTTATATTTTAAAGTCAGGTACAAGTTTGTGATAGTATATATATGTTCATTTATATATGTGTTATACTATCTAAACACATATACTGAAGACAGAGAAAGACAGAATAAAATACTTTTTGCATGTGCCAAGCAACAGGGCAGTTTTGCACCACACAACTATTCAGCAGTAATTTAAAGAACCAACCTGTTTTGTCCAAGTTTTGGGTCTGAGGCTCAGAGTAGCACAGCCTAAATCCACCAGCCTCACTGTGTTAAACTGCTGTTTTACACCAGCCTAGGACCCTTTAGGTTTTCCGTAATGAATAGGTAATTAATGCAAGTTGGTGATGAATGGGACTCCTTTCATGAACTAAGTGAGTTAACCATAACAGACCAGCAAAGCTTCCCCAAGTACTTCAGTTATGCATTTCCTAGTCTCATGTGATAGCTACTGCCTCTGCTACTCAGGCTCCAGAAATCCACATTTTTCCTAGAAGAGATACACACAGGAACAGCATTTGTCATTCTTACTTGGTTTCTTGGACAGATTATGTTTAAATCTTTCCCAGCAGCATTGGGATCTTAATATCCTTGGGCTTCACTGCAAATCTAAGCTGGACTGTTTCACTAATCCCTCCTCAGTTTGTATCACCAGCAAAGAAAACACAAGCGCTCAAGTAAGCAAATGGTGCGTATCATCTCTAACAGGAGCACTGCCACTGCCTGTGCTCCCAGATGTTGGTGGCACGATGACGATGGCTGTAAAAGCAGACTTTCAGCAAAAATTCACCCAACCACAGAGAGCTAATAAAATCTTTGTGGTGGAAGGTACACACAAATCTTACATACGTGTTTGAAGTGCAGCACAGAAGTTGCATAGCATCAGTTTTGGTCCAGGCAGCATTTTACTGTTCTACCATAATTAAAGGAAAACAGTTTTCCTTGTTGTAAACATTGGCATCAGGAATAAGTTAAACTGGTGTACTTTGTACATCAGTCTGCATAGCTGTGATGGTGCCCTGTGCTGTGGGATACTTCCTTGGTGTGGCAGGATCAACATCCAGGATTAACAACTTCTGCAGTTTAAGTTTTCTGTATCTTGTCGTCCTTCCCAGTGAACTCGGTTTCTTCGAAACGAGACCCATCTATCTCTCATATAGCCCCCATCTTGTCCCCAAAGCTGAAACTTATCTATAAAGGAAATGATTTGATGGATTTCAAACTGCAGATGATTGTCATAATCTATTTCTGGGAACTCTCACGTTTGATTAAATTCTTGAAAGGTGCAAGAAAGGCTGACGATAAATGATGGCATAGTTTCTTCATGTGTGTCAGCTGTATAATTCTTAAATTATAAGCTTTTCTACTACGCATTATTATTTGCGCCATTTAATTTGTTGTAGACAAGTGACTTAAGGAAAGCTGCATTTAAGATCAACAGATTTATACAGTGACATCTCACCTTCCTGTTAAATCTAAATTCTAGCTCTAAATCTGTACGATTTAACTTCAGATGCTGAGCTGTTTTCACCATGTGTCTCAGGCAGATCTGGTGTATCTGGAATTTTGTAGCAATAAAGCAGGATTTCTAAGCACATTTAAGTAGCATATGAATGCAAAAGTGTAAACGCAATCAACTTTCTGTGAGACTTTCTACCTAAATCATATAGGAACATACTAAAATCTCAACTGTAAATAATGAAGCCCTTATGTTCTTGTATACTGATATAATTAAGAAAGTAGGAGGGGACATGTATGAATACATTTTGCTGTATTAGACCTCTTTTCCAGTTTATCTTTTGATTGCTGTGACGTGACCCCTATGTCTTATTCTTAAATATGAAACATCATCTTTAGAGTTCAATTCCACCTCAGAGGGCAATTTGCTTCTGTGAAATGCTCGCATTTATTGATTACATATCACATGCTCAGCTTCTCTGCTAACGTGATATGATCTCGAATAAAGGAACTAATACATTAATTTTGGAAACGGTGTCAGGAGCCTAAATCTCAGTCCCTGTCAAAAAGATGTATATGCTGAAATGCTAGCTCACTTTTGAAAATATGCGTTGTTGCTTCTATCCCCTGTACTGAAAAAATAGAAGCAAATGATGTTACAAGCTGCATAGCTGTATGCTTAAATTTCAAGGTAGTAGAGAAATGCTTACAGCCTTTGTCAAACTTACGACTCACTTAGGCTGTCACATAATGATGCACATTCAATTTAAATTGTGAACAGGCCTCATGGAGTGTTTCTCAGACGAGTTCATCTTAAAAGTTGGAGGTGTTCTTCGGAGCCAATTTCTGAGGTACAGGCTTTGAATAGCATTGCTATTCTGAATAAAAATAAACATTTCGTTTAAGTCCAGTGATCATAGTTTTATTTCTGACCTCAAGACACCTGTGGTGCATGCATGTAGCATGTTCAAGCAGACAGCTGACATTTCTTTCCTGACCACAAATGAGAATTTTCTTGGAAAATAATAGAAGGAACGAGCAAAGACCTTACAGTCAAACGCTAGCTTTTTTGAAGTCTATGATGAGACTCCCAAGCTTTTAATATGATTCGGGTCCTAAAGCACAATTACTTGCTGCATGCAAAGAAAGTGACATGTATCATTGGTCAGAAACCATGTCTGTGTAGCACTTCTAGATGCCTGTCAGGTAAATCAGAGGTGCGAGTGCCCGTTAGGCCTCGTATTCAGGCAAACAGAATAGGCAGCAGTTGCCCAGTTCTCAAACGCAATTAACAGAAATGAAGCAGAACATCCTGAACAGTGCGAAACCACATGACTGTTTAACACAGCAATGAGAGTTCATGCTTTTGTATGAAAGATTTATAGGAATTTTAAAGTCTCTCGTGACACTCCATGTTAAATGTTACAGGATATAATAAAAATTGAATGGGAACCTAATCATGTAATTCATCAAAAGAAATTGCTTTTTTGCACTCTGTCCTTGCTTTAATATTAGAGGAACTTAGGGCACAATTTGAAACTCTTATGAAGTGCCTGTATTTTCTATTTTGTTTGTATAATTTTGAGTATAGCCTGCAGATTAATTAAAAATGTGACTTTCAGTAGCTTTCAGCATAACTGTCTGTAACGGCTTTTGCTTGTCTTGGATTTCATTTACACAAGGTTGCAGGCTGCATCTGACAGCACATCCATGATGAAACTCTATTCTTTCACCAGTTTGGTTTGCAGCAGTAGGACATTGCAGTGTTTAGCTGCGTTTTAAAATAAGATGCCACAGTCTTCAATACTGTGTTTTATCAGATAATTAGTATTTTTATTTCTAAGCTTTACATATTTGACAACTTCCTCATGTTCCTTAAACAAAACGGGGAATTAAGCAAATGTATTGGTTTTAACTGATAGTGAGAATTAAACCATGCAGGACTAGCAGCTATTCAGACCCCTTCTCACTAAACATTGAAAAGACAGTAAATAGAACAGGTGACAAATAGTTCTTCAGTCATCTCTGAAGGTCATCAGGTATCTGATATGGCAAAAATATCCAAAGCGGCATAACTAAAACTGTGAATTTTTCTTATTTTTTTACTGCTTTTAAAGGTTAAGATTGTAGGTAACTTACAAAATAATGTCAGGCCTGTTTTCTATACAAATATACTGATGAAAAAGTATAATGACTGGAAAATGAAGTTGATTCAACTTCTAAGAGCAAACACACCAGACTACACCATTACTATCTATTCACTTGATTGTCATATAGTCTTTATATCAGTTTCCCCTTCATCATCTTGAATCAATTACTATATAAGCCTTAATTTCAGTCAAAGCTAATCAGCAGCTTAATCAATGATTTCAGCTGTAATCAGATTTACTAAGGTAACGCAATAGATAAATTTGCATGCTCTTTCTTTTACCTCTGTTAAACCTCATTTTTATTTTCAAGTTTGTATTAGCAAGTTATAGCTAGATCAAGGAATCATAATGCATAGTGTTTATAATTCATTGGCTGAATAAACACTCAGCTTTATTATATATATCCTCAGTGGGATATACCATAGCCAATTTTGTATATATTGTATTGCACTATTGCACACAAAAGTATCAGCCTTTCTCAGGTAAATAGCTTGCCTCTTATTAGTTATTTATTTTTTCTCACTCAATATAAGTTTATCCAAATGTATTAGTTAGCTGTTACTATACACTATATTTGCTATATTGTATAGCAAATATACAGTATAGTATGTATGCTATAATATATTTTCTCTCACATAGTACGTTGTCTCTTTCTCTGAGTCTAGTATTACAGTGACAGACACTGGATACTCATGTTTCAGATTACAGAACTTCAATTTTTTCAGCGTCCTGTTTAAAGTGCTCAAATGGCATAGGAATCTAAAAATGTGAAGGCACACTTGTATTTTAACTTCTTAAACTATTATTCTTAATAATGTTTCATAATGACTAGACACTTCTGTTCTTCTATTAATACTCCATTTATTCCAATAACCTGTGCAATAAAACCGTTTTTCTGAACTTGTTCTGAACCATCTGTACTTAATCAAGTAATCTCTTTTTCAAGTTTCAAGCTCAAATCTTAACCCTGAACTATTTCCACTGTTCAAAAAACAAGGCCCCGCATTCAAAGACATGTACAGAGGTGATGTTAGAGGAAAAACATCTGAAACATGCATATGCACTTTCCAAATTCAATAAAACAGTAATTGTATCACGTATTAAATGTGTGTACATAATACATCTACTTCACAATATATAAGGACAAATTATTATAACTATTTATACATTTTAAAAGTACATAGGAAAAGGAGGATTCAATAAAATTCTGAGTGAAAA